CCCGACAGTCGCTCGGGCCACTGGCTCACCTCAGCCGCCCAGCCCAAGCCAATCGCAATGCGCGGGCGGGACTCCTCGCCTGGGGGCCTGGGCGGGGCCCGGTGAGGGGCTGGGCGGAGGGTTTGACAGGCGGCGGCCGGTTGGAGCCCTGCTCGGCCAGCGGCTCTCTGGCCACAGACCCCGGTTGGACTGAGGAGTGGCGCAGCGGGAGGGAGAGTCTGGGCACTATACCGACAGCCAGCAAGCTGAGCGTCCACGGAGCCTGGATCACCCGGCTTCCTCCCCGCCTCTCCCAGTGGCCTCGGACAGGAACCATCACCTCTGCAGGTCGGGTTTTTCCCGGGTCTAAAGAGAATGCCATAGATGCGAACGCAGAGGTAACAGATATGAAAGTGCTTGACAGTTTTCTTGCAGAATCCAACCCGCTCTCGGAGATTTATAGCCAGTCACCAGCAAAGCTGGGACCCAACCCAGGCCTCACAGCCCACTTTATCACCTTTTGCTTTTGTGGCATGCGATTTCCACTGGTCAGAGTCCCTTCAGGCAAGAGGGTCTCAAAGTGCCTCTGGGGCCCGTACCCAGTTCCTCCTGCCTTCTGGGCTCCTGCACATACAGCAGTGTCTCAGGGGGCCCTGCCCAACATACAGGAAGAGCACTGGACAAAGAATAAGACGTCCCAGCTGAAGGTAAAGCTCTGTGAGTAAAGCACTTGCCTTATATCGTGAGGCCTGGGTTCCATCCCCAGACCAAAAGAAAAGAACAAACAAACAAAACCCTTCACCGTGACTGGAAGCAATGGCTCAGATCCCCTTCCTGAGCCTCAGTTTCCTCCTGTGTAAAATGGGATTGTTCATCAGGCCTGGCCTATCTGCAAGAGCTACTGAAGGATTCCAGTGTGGCCCCTGAAATAGTCTCTGATGTCATCTACCCTCCCTCTTTGTCCAATTTGCTGGTGAGGAGACCTGTCTGACTTGGCACTCTTTTGGGGTCTGGTCTCTTTGTCCTTGGTCTCAAATTGAAAAATGGATGTGAAGCTTCTTACTACTGCAAAAGTGAGATTTAC